TCCCATAAATAATTCATTTTAGTGGTTAACTCTAGATCAATTTTGATCGATTTTATTTTGACTGCTTACCATTCAGTCCCTTACTGTTTTGCAATGTAACCTCTTATACTAACAAACCTTTCAAAATAATGTAGAAATTAACATTTAAGGAGTCTTAAATTGTTACACCGAAAATTCAATTCATTTTGTACCAAAAAAAAAAAAAATCATATCATTTTTATTTTATTATATTTTTTTCTCCAATTATTTTACACGTGTCAAACTCTTATCAGCCCATTACAAGTTCAACTTGAATGCTAATGGCGGCCGACAGCTTTGCAGGATTCTATAATTGATTCAAACATGTGGTTGTTCACCACATGTTTTGATTTTGTTTAAATTTATTATGAGATTAATTTTGAAAAAAATTGATAAAGTTAGTGCTCCGTGTTAATTTTATACTATAATAATATGTAAAATAGAATAATTAAAATTAATTTGATGTAAATATATATGATAGATGATGTAAAGAAATAATAGTTAAAATGATAAGAGTTGAAGAATATTGATCTGAAGTTGATGTAATGTATAAAAATGATAGAGTGATATTACTTAATAATATTAATGATAGTGAGGTTGAATTAAAGTCGAGTTATAAAAAAAGTGATTGGTTAAAAATGATTGATTTTAATTTTAAATAATTTGTATCCAAGCATGCGCTCAATCACCCGAACTTTTCCACCTTCACGGTCATCACTCCCGCTTGCGGAAGTCATGACGAACATATTTTAAACATTTGTTTTGCGACTCTCATGCACAAACTGATCATAAACTCGATGTACACACGCTGCTCAAACTGCCATGTTACATTAATTATTATTATAAGACATATAACAGTTGATAGCTTTGCAGGATTGATCGGACACGTTGATTCCTCAACTAGTGCAGTCAACTAGTCTAGCTTTTCTATCGTGATTGTTCAGAAATTCTTCCCGTAGAGTCTTGATGAACATATTACGAATATTAATTTCTTCAACTTTTCAACCTAAACATCTTTGATCCAATTCCTCCAACTTGAGAATCTCCGAATGTGGCTTTTTCTCGCGCAAACATGTGGCTCCGACTGACACAAAGCTCTTGGAACTCAACCTTTTCGTGCAGACACGCGATCCAGACTGCCACGTTACATCAGTTATTACCATAACATACATAGTGATTGATAACTTTGTAGGATTGATCACCCATTGATTCCTCGACTTTTCTATCTTGATTGGTCGGAATTACTTCAAGTAGAGTCTGTGATAAACATACTCTGGTCTCTGAATATTCATTTTTCTACTTTCCAGCCTCAACAAATCATCAGTAACCCGATTCCTCTAACTCGTGAATCTCTTAATGTGACTTTCTCATGCAAACACGTGGCCCTGACTGAATCGGAACTCTCCTAACACAGTTTTTTGGTGCAGACACGCGATCCAGACTGCGAGAATCTCCGAATGTGGCTTTTACCAGTGCAAACATGTGGTCCCGACTGACTCAAAACCCTCCGAACGCAGTTTTTTTCGTGCCGACACACGATCCAAACTTCCACATTACATTACTTATTACCATACTGCATACAACTCACAATAGATCTGAATAGTCTTTTGACACATCCTAGGCCCTTATCTCAATTACCCCTTACACCACATCACCCCAGTGACCGCAGAAGGCCGCCAGAGGCTAAAAGGCGCACTCGCCCATAATTTTTCTGTACACACATCCTTATCTAGTCTCCACGTCAAGTTGCTTTCAATGTTAGAACCATTAAAATTCAACCCCTACCATCATGAATACAAAAGGATGTCCTGCCACAAATGATTCTATTTATTAATTATTTTATACAATTATATTTTTGAATAATATAAATTAAAAGTAAAATAAAAATTTTGGGAGATGTTACGGTCTCTTACGAAACTATTCCGTCGGGGTTTGTAACCGTTAGATCAACTATCCTCGACGTGATAATCTAACGTTACGTGATGATCAAATGGTTGCACATCCCGACGGAATAATTCCGTAACGAAACGGTAACATTTCCTAAAAATTTTGTGGGTCGTCAATAATTTATCCCAATTTCTTGAATTTTGGACCAGATACAATATAAATCACCCACTCGCTAGCCCACCAAGTCACTTTCGGGGGTATTAAAACTCATTTTTGACATTTCAATTTCGAAACTTTATTTAATTCGTTTTTTTCTCACCCTTGAGAGAGATACGTGTTTCTATTTCAAATAATATTCTTGGGAAGACACGTGTAAAATTGAAATATTGACATTGATAGTGGTGCATGAGATTCCTCATAAATGGCTTATTTATTGATATTTTAAGAATAAAAATTGATAGTCTTTGTGGGGGAAAAAAAAAAAGAGAAAAAAAAAAGAGTTTGGAGGTTAATTTAAGTTAGAGGAGTGGTTAGTTGGAATAAACTCAGTCACGTCATATAGAATTGTAAGCAAATTGAGACTAACACAAGCTCTTGATATTCAAATTGCATTCGTATATTTATAAAAACAAATTGTGAGCTGTAAACGAGTCAATCCGAGCTCAAACTCTTGATATTCGAGTCAATTAGGCCTTGAGCCTTTACCAAGCTAACGAGTTCGAGCTCAGTCGCTTGTCAATATTGCAGAGTCGAACTTGATTCTTGATATGCCAAACTAAATTAATAATTCGAAAACTAATATAAAGCCCATGTGTCGAACATTCTGCTCTCTAACTAAACTATATCTTAGTAGAGCTGCACCTGTTAACTCAACGAGCTACTAAACAAACTCGAGACAACTCGCTTGGTATCGTTAACTAGACGTGTATTAAACAAGCTCGAGACAGTTTATTTATCGAATGAGCTCTGTCAAATTACAACTTTAACGAGTCGAACCGAATTCGTTAATGACTCGATTCGTTTAACAGTACTAGTAGTTGAGTTCGATACCATCACTTCAAAGTTCAATATAGCTAAATATTAAAAGACTTTGAAGAGTTGGAGACATGGTTGTGCCCATAACAATGTTCCAAGAACCCAGCGATTGCATGTAATAACCGACATGCAAAGTCATACGAATTGGTGGGCCGCCACGTCACATCAACCCGTATGCGACCACGTGTTGAGCGTTCAACAAGGAGACGTGGTGGACTACATCAGCCCAACATTGAGTCATTGACCACGTAGGCAATAAATAAATAAAACACCACATAGATAATTAAAAAAAAAAATGTCAATGTTAAAATACAACTAGTACTCAGCCTCTCTAAATATACAAATATAAATAATATCAAAATAAAAATTATAAGTTAGGAAAAAGCTACAATTCAATGATTCCGGGAGAGTTTTTAGCACTTACATGTATTTACAATAACTGTATATTTAATGGCTATATCATTGAAAGTAATTTACGTACTTAAAAATAATCATTTAATGAAATAAAGAAGGTTATATTGATTCTAAAATAAATAAATTGACGAAAAGTTTTACAGAATATTTTTTTTTTTTATGTTTATTTAACTTTCGTATACTATTTAATATAAAATACAATTGTTTTAATAATAACTATTATTATATGATTATAGTAAAAAAATATAAATTATTACTCAATTAATATAGGATGTAACGATCTTGCTGTCATATATAATTAACCCAAAAAAGGGCGAGAAACTAAAAATTTTGCATTAACTTATTCATCCCATCGGGTTTTTTTTTTTCATTTCCCAAGGCTACTTATTTATTTATTTATTTATTTATTTTTTGTCACAATTTTACAACCAACCGGAGGAAATTTAAAATTCCTTCTCTAGTCCGAATCTCTCAAACCAAACACTACCAAAATGATGGTAACAAGTTCAATTCTATATGTCCACATCGGGTTTTATTCCCCGTATCACCACAAATTAACATATACATCCATAGCATTAGTCTGGTTCGACTAAGGCTATACGATATGAAGATATATGATATTAAGTTGAATATCTATAAATAAATATAAAAATATTCCTAAAAAGATATCAAACTGAACTTGTGTATATCTACTCCTCCATTCTTAAGGATTCGATTCCTGCCCAAGAGCGCTTGGATGAGATGACTTGGGTCTCTTCCAGCTTAATCAGTGGTCTCGTGTTCGAGCCCTATGAATGCAGCAGTGTTAAAACTCTTGAGGGAGAGTTTTGCCGCCCTTGTGGTCCTACCCGACTCGATTCCGGGTTAGTCGGTTCTCCTGTGGATCCAGAAACCGGAAGGTCCCTGTACCAAAAAAAAAGATTCGATTCCTTGCTTACTAAGAAAATTCATTTCTCTCGCGGAATAAATAATTAAATCTCTTATAAAGGATCCGTTTTTCTTTCTAGACCTACGCTCTGAATAAGTTTTCTCATTTATGATATCTTGATCATTATACAATTTTTTATTTAAGTGTCGGAGTGTCTACGCCAGGGCTCGCCCTCGGTACTGTTTCGCAAGTTGATCCAATTCATGCTAATAAATTGTAAATTCCATACTTTTATTTATGTATTGTTTTTAACAATAACTACATTACCCTATACACAAAAAAAGTATGCATATTTATTAAAAAATATTTAAGATTCAACCAAATTAGTTAATGATATTTAGGGAAAATAATACGGTCACGTTATGGTACCATCTTGTCGGGTGTTTTAACCGTTTGATCCACATGTAATTAGATAAGATAGACAATCCAACGGTTAAAATACCCGATGGGATGGTACCGTAACATGACCGTATCATTTCCCGATATTTAGATATGAAACATTAGTTCCGGTAAACTCATTTTCCTCCACTAAACCATACCACAAATCTCATTTCCCTTTCTTTATTTTTCTCTTTCCCCAAACTGCCTATAAATACACAAGCACTCTATCAAACTCCATGTTTATTATTCATCATATTCTAAGCTCTCTAACCTAAACTGATCAAAGTAAAAAAAAAA